CCCCCTATAACACTGTTGATAATTCCGTTTTATATGAATTCCATGTTGTACGAGTCACTTAGATTTTACAAATACGTGTGCCGGGCTGTGAACGGCTCACGTATTTGTAAAATCTAAGTGACTCGTACAACATGGAATTCATATAAAACGGAAAAATCAACAGTGTTATAGGGGGTCAACTGTATCTTATCGCCTTTCCCTAGAGAGAGAGAGAGAGATGAAGACACTTGAAAATTTAAACTTCACACACGTCGCGTGGTTGACGAATTAGCTTTTAAACAGTACGAAAAAATTGTTATAAACCGAAATTTTATAATAATAAAAGAATTTTCTTTTTTTTTTTTCTTCTTTTTTTCCCCTGTAAATTAAATGTTTCTACAAGCATTATGGTGGTTAAATATTATTGCATACGCCAGAAAGCTGTAAGTTATTCTACGGTCGTGTTACTTTACACTGTCAAATCTTCAAATTAATTGTAAGGCACGTATGGAGATTAAATGTTTACTTAGTCTTGTAATCATATAAATCCTTAATGTGTTTATAAATTATTGTAGAACATCTTCAAATCTTCATATTTTTAAGTGTTTCTCTCTCTATCTTAACTTTTAACAATCTTTTTGAGGCTGTATTTTCTTCTAGTAATTCATCCTCTTCTGAAGGCTTTAAAATGTGGAATAAAATCATAAAAAATTTGCTTTTCGAATTAACCTTTAATCTCTAATTAATGTTCCGAATGCAATCTTTCTACTTTCAACTGTAATTTTTAAGGGTTTCATTCTAACTCTTCTTATTTTTAAAGCCTCAACGTAATATTTTTAGTCTTCTAATATATAATTTTACAGTCTTTCCTCATTTTAAGGCTTTCAGTAAAGCACCTTTCCAATTTATATCCATATTTTAATGCGCTCAAGGTTAATTTTTTATAGGTTTTTTTTCTCATTTTACAACACTTTTATTTTAATGCGTGACTGAAATTTCTATTTTTCCTTATTAATTTATAGCCTTATTATTATGGCCTTTTAATACAATTTCTTTTCTAATTTAGAGTCTTAAAATGAAGATAAATTTTGAAGAGTCCTAAAATAAACTTATGGACAAACATTTCTTTGGAGTTTCTGCTTCCATTTTAAAGGCTCTTGAACAATTTTTTTCTATCTAATTATTTATAAAAGATTGTTTTAATCCAGTATTTGATCTTATCAGTTGCAACTAACACTTTCCTCGTTATTTAACGGGTGATAATTATCTTCCACGTGTCTAAATAGAGAAATTAAATGAATATTAGATACACAACACTAAACTTCTCCATTAAAACTTTGGATATTTTTCCTCGTAATCAATTAAGTTTAATCTCTAAATAAATTTAATAGAATAAAATGATCATTTATAATAAAAAAAAATAGGCTTTTTTTGTATATGTTCTATAAATTATTTATCTTCTGTTCTGTGTGGGGTAGGCGATAGGTTTTACGCCACGAGTCAAAATGTCAATTCCTCATTGTGAAAGTATGCACAATGTCATTTTTTAATGATGATTTGTATACAGAATGTAGATAGAAACAAGTGGAAGAAGTAGAACTGTATATTTTCATACGCAGTAGATATAGAAGCTGTAAAGGTATAAGATACCAGAGGTTGAAAGATCGAGGACTTTCGATTATGACCTTTTCGTCGATTCTTTTTATCAAATTCTGATAATAATTATTTAAAAAAAAATTCTCTCCTGTATATCTAATCAGTTAATACAAAGGTGCGAATAATAACAAAATACAGATAACTGAATACAGAAGTTTTTACTCCACTTTGCGATATGAATAGTATAGAGGAAAAGGTGTGTCGTATGCAATACGAATTAATTAAAGGGCACAGTCCTTACGTTCCGAAAGTTTGCAAATTGTCACTATGAGTAGTTAGAAAATTATAGTTTGAGAGTTTCTGATTCTGTTTGACAACTCAGACTTGTCAATTCTGTATCAATACTTTAATTTCTGATGTAGGGATCAAATTGATCTGCAATTTTAGAAACTCATCAAGGAATTTATTTGGTGCTTTTCATTTGTAACTTGATTTTTTTTTTAATTTTAAACTTTAATAAAAATCAAATAGTTAAAGAAAAAAGCTTCCATTTCACAAACTAACCTTTCTTTTTTTTTATTTTTCCAAATTAACGTTGTTTTAGAGAGAGAGAGAGCGGAAATAGACATGAGAACGTACGCCCTGAGAGAACCAACCGTGGTCCAACCGACTATAAACACACCCTGGTCTAGTATGCTGCAGCAAAGTTCGTCGGGATTGCCTCTGCTCTATCCTCCCATGGGATGCCTCCCGTCTTACTATCGCTACCCCCTGGATATGAATAGCAACGGCATGGCAGCTAATTGTCACTCCGTCACTACTACCGGCGCTTACAACTATCACAGTCTGATCCAGGATCGAAGCTCGGATTATCCCATAACGGAACGCGAAGACACCGACAGCGAAAACTCCAATTTGGGCCTGCCCGGTCTGATACACGGCAGTGTGCCCATCAGATATCACACGGCATTTGCCTCCAGTCTAGTGACAGGCGGCAGGAGCAGAGAAGTTAATTCTCCGGATACATAAAGGCCAGTAAGTACCGTGATAGTGTTTTACGTAAGCAGAATACTACCACCACCACCACGCGTTGTGCGTCATACATAAGACGACTTATCTATATACACTTTGACAGGCTACGATATACGCGCGTGTTAGCGCGGTGTAATAACAATTACGTTAACTTTAATGACCATTAAAATGCAGCTCGAACTATGTGACGACGTAAAGGAGTTTGGCCCCCTCCGTGCGGCAAGGACAAAGAAAATAAACACTCACACCGTAAAGGTCACTAAAGATAACTACGGGTTGTAAGCGCGATGTATAGCATTCTAGGACACGACCTATGGAAGGTTTCTCGAGCTAAGTCCAAATTTTCGGTTCCACACACACACACACACACACACACCACCCTTTGACTGTTCTACCTCTCAGCATGGATCTAATTTTTTAAAATTATTTTCCCTTCTCCCCTAAAGACTACGATATTTAATCTTTCTGGCACGATCACCTTTCACCTTCGCTCCAGTCACTTAGCAATTTTGGTAGAAAGTAAAGGGTGTCGATTTTATTAAACTCTTAGAAGGGAATAAAGGAAAAATAAAAAGAAAATATTCGTAAATTGCATTATATTAAATGAAATTAAAAAAAAAAAAAAACGTTATTGTACTAAAAGAATCTGTTTGACGTCGTCTGCAAAAGTTAATTTTCTTGTTTGGCTCTAGGGTCAAATAGATTACAGAGAAAGACGATTTTAATGGGTTAGGTCATACACGATCATCTTGTCTGCAACAGGTTTTTAAATTGAGTAACACCTGACGAAGATGGATCGTATCTACTTCCCTCCCTATAATTACTTTTGCTTCTACTCTTACTTCTTTGCGTAAACAACTGGTGGGAGGATGTGAAGGGCTTGGCGCGAGAACCAGTTTGAATCCGGTCAAATCGCGGTGCCGTTAAAAATTCCTGGTCTTTTCGAGCGGCGCGTAAATAAGTATAGAAGTTAAGCGATTATTGAAATCCCGAAAATAAGGTTTGAGTAGGCGAAATATTCAAAATCAAACTCTTCTTCCTGAAAAACTCCGAACCCAACTGGAGCCTGTAGAACCAGTCTTGTATTGGAATCAGTAGAACCAGTCTTGTATTGGAGTCAGTAGAATCAGTCTTGTATTGGAGTCAGTAGAGCCAGTCTTGTATTGGAGTCAGTAGAACCAGTCTTGTATTGGAGTCAGCAGAGCCAGTCTTGTATTGGAGTCAGTAGAGCCAGTTAGTAGAGCCAGTTTTGTATTGGAGTCAGTAGAGCCAGTTAGTAGAACCAGAGTATTGGAGCCAGTAGGGCTGTACTGGCTCCAATACTACGAGGTAACGCGGTTACGTCTCTAGTATTAATTAATTAATATATAATCGTTACGCGTAACGTTGTGTAGACGTTCTCGAATATGTTAACTAAGACACACTTCAAGCTTGCGAAACAAAAAATCGTCACTTCTTTTTAACGTTTTATACTTATTCTAACGTAACTGAAAGTATTTAAGTAACTAATTATTAATTTTCTGATCTTTAACAGGGACGGAAGTGCCTTAAATACGTTCAAGAAGGGATATAATAGGGAGGAAGAGTATCTACACGTGGATACAAATTGTGATAAATATAATGCACTCTGTTATTCCATCGATATTTCTTTATGTTTAAAATTTAAATACGTATCGACGAGTAGAAAATCAAAATAAAACAAGCACACAAAGCTAACAATTAAAAAGAAAGAAAATATGAATAAATAATTGTAACGTACTTCATTAAAACTCTATAAAAAGTGAAACGTTTCTTAAGTGTATATGAATTAGAAATTAAGCAAAAAAAATACCAAAAAAACAAAAAAAAAACAAAAAATTATGGGTTTGTCTGTATGTGTATATGAATATATAAATATATATCAATATATGTTACCAAAGTTCTTTCAAATTTGGTAATTTGCTGTGATAAACTCGCAAAAAAAAGCAACCAAAAACACAGAAAATGCACTAAAATTTAAAAAAAAAACACTAGTAATTTCGTTGTGTTATCGAGAAAAATGTATATATAAATTCACTCTCCCTCGTACTTTATAGTTTTTTCAAGTCACAGTTTCGGTGTTACGATCTATATCGTTCTTCGTTGTCTTATTAATTAAACACTACGATAATGGGGAGGTGCAAAATCTAAACTGATCATTCTATATACACGTAGATACACGTAAAATTCCCTCCTCTTCGTGTACTTGCACTTACGTCGTGGAAGTCATCCTCGCAGCACACGATGATTTCTTTGTTTTTTTTTTTTTTTCTGTAGGTTTAGTCACGAAATTTAGTGATGACGAACGTAAAAAAACACGTGAAGGTATTTAAAATTTTTATTCTTGGACTTGTACTTTTCAGAACCCGGTTAAGGTTTTCAGGATAAAGTTTTCGTTTTCGTGACAGACAGACACACGGACACACAACACAGAAATATGATAAGGAGTGGATTTTTTTGGGGGGTCAGTAGGACTAATTTTTGGCATATTATAATATGTAATTGTAATGGAACATCTACGTGAATGTCTGATGATGATGATGATGATGATGATAAACTGTTAGAATTTTAGTTATAATTTATTCTGGAATGATACCGAAATACTGTAATTAAATTCTTAATTTATTATACTTTTTTTCTCTTATAATAATAATAAAATTAATTATGAAAAAGGTGTTTTAATAATTTCCGTGAAGAATTTTTTTTTTTTTTGGTAAAGGACCCTCTAATTAAAAAAATAAATGTCTCTGCTGTGTAAATATTGACGATTATGATGATGATAATGATGGAAGTTTGTAAGAAATATTCTGTGTTTTTTAATAAATTAATTTGAAATTAAACTTATTTTAGGACTGTTAATTACAATTAATTTTAAGGCTGTTTTTATTGAGAATAATTGTTTTAAAGGGGTATATTTGCCTGTCCAGTTTACAGTTGGGAAACGTTAAAGAACAAAAAGTTTTCCTGTTTTCGCGCTTTAAAATCATACTTTTTACAATTAAATCATACAGCGCTTAATTATGGATCGATAATTACAGTGTTTTCTTGCCTTTTTAAGGCAAGAAAACACTGTAATATATAGTTTTCTTGCCTTAAAAAGGCAAGAAAAGAGGTTTCTTGTGTGAAAGGATACTAAATTTCAGTGTTTTCTTGCCTTTTTAAGGCAAGAAAACACTGAAATTTAGTATCCTTTCACACAAGAAACCTCTTGTACTCTAAAGTACCATCCAACAGTATGGAAGATTATCGTTATTTTCCCTATTTTAAACGCTAAATCGAGGTGTATTAATTAAAATTGATACGGAGAATATCATAAAGATTTTATAAAATTCCATAAATTTTAAACTGTTATAAATTTTTTTTTTAAAAAAAGCAAAGTAAAACATCGAATATACACACAGGACGTGCAATAAAATGGGATAAAGTTATAAAGAAAATTGATCAAAGTCACCATGTTTATAAACCATAAATAAGTTGCATAAGGTGGGGAGGGAGTAACAAAAGTTATAAATTTCAAATATATATAGTTTAATTGACGTTACCATAAAATAGAGATAGAAACGTAAAGCATTATTATCTTTTCGCATAAAATACTAACCGAGTTACGCAACGTAACAGAATTCGTTACGCTAAAAAGTATGAAGAGTAAGGGAGAGATAATGCCATTAACAAATTTACTTAATGTAATGAATTAGAAATGACAAAGAAAAAAAGTGCATACAATAAATCGTATGTATTTAGTAATTGCATAAAATTTATTGTATTTGAGTGAGATGTTTGTTTGTCTGACGTCCGATAATAAATATTAGACCTATGATAGCATTTAATCGATTAATTTCTGATAATAGGGTCGTAGACGATGATGAAAAATCTTTTGTTTGAATGTTTTCCTGTTACGGATTTCCATAGTTTGCTTTCTGTTTACTTTTCCACATTATTTATCTTCTGTCTGGTTTACGATTTTTCTCCTTTTCTACGGTACATCTTAAACTTTTCCACTTTTTAAGTATTCTTATATGTTTCCAATGTAATAAAACTATAAAGAATAGCTTCGGAGGGGGGTGTTTTTACGTAACTCTCAGTTACTACCTTAATAATACTCGTAAATTGAATTGCGTAACGTATTTTTAATCGGTTTCAATGGTGTAACGTGTTAATTACTAGCTTTGTTACTCGTAGAATGTATTAAATACTACGGGAAATTAATAAGTTGGGGGGGGTGCTTGAAGAGTAACGTGACAAAGAAAATAAAGATTTCTCGTGTTTAGCGAAGAGTTTTAGTAGAAGTGCCTCTGTTTATCGACAGTAAATGATCCTTTTTTTGTAATGGAAGTAACTGAAAGGGGGGAGGACATTTTGCTATTACTATCGATTGTAAGAGGGATTGCCTCAATTACTTCTTTTTAGTGGAGTTTCCCGGTTTATTCGCGTTATGTGTGTGTGTTTTTTTGTGAAGGAAGTGCGTCATTTTAGTGACGATTTAATAATAATCGCGTTGTAGATAGGTCGGGAGTGTGAAGCTACTTCGAGTGTTTGGAGTACCACTTTTGTTTTACCGAAATCGTGGTTCCATCACGTAAATTCTATACGAAAACTCGGTGAAATTGTGTAAAAGAACTTGGACATTAAAGGGGATTTACGGATTATTCCAACACTCTGGATGTGTGAAAGGGCACGTTTACGTAATTTAGGAGCATTGTGTTACTTACGTAACGTGGTATTAAGTTCCAAATAAGCGTTAAAATGCCGAAATTACGCGTTTTTCAAACTTTTTAACTGGTAATCCCCCCTTTTAGAATACCGAAAACAGGGCACGACATCCCCTATCCATGATATCTATTTACTCCATTCTTTTCTAAGCGAATGGAAGTAAGAGTTGAAAGCTGAACAGTTGTTAATAAATGGCAAAGTCTATCAACCGGGGGTTCGGAATCGCCGTTTTTTCTTGCGGGAAAATTTTCGAATAGAAATAATAATTGTATAACCTTTTAATTCCTTACAATTAACTAAAATTTCATATAAAAACAAGCGAATACTGTAATTGTATTGAAAACAAAGGGAGAGGTCTGTTTGGCATAACTATTTTACACCTAAAATAGCACGTAGAATATACGATATTATTATTAATATTTAATTATTGTTAAGAATTACCATTATCGTAACCACTTATTCATAATGTTTGACCACTTAGCGTAACGTATTGAAATAATAAGCAAGCTTGACATATTTATCGAATTATTTACACGAGGATGAGTTAGACGTAGATACATTATCGTAAATTATAATACGTAATCTACCTGTCGAAGTATGTGTTTACTTAAGTCGTTAAATTGGCATCACTTAAATGATATCGGTAACACGATACCTACCTCCTTTCCTTCCATAACAATTCCACGTTAAGAATATTCAACGTTTTCCTACATTAAATATAATCATTTGATAAATCTGCAAAGGAGAAAAGTCACGATCTCCCTCTTAACAGAGATTAACACTGTTTATTCTCCTACTCGATACTTAAGTTGTGTGTGTGTGTGTTTTTAATGTCTTCTCTTCTTCATTCCATTTTTCTTTGGTATCCTCTCTCTTTGTCTCTCTGTTTCTCGGATGCTCTCCTGATTTCCCTGTGTTTTTCTATCTTTTCTCCTCATGGAGTGGAATAAGGATGGGATAAAGAAACGTTACACGATCTACCAATGGTAAGTTCCTCCCGGGAGGAGTTTGTATAAGAAGCTGGCTTCTATTTAAGTTTTACACGTGAAGAAAAACCAGAAAACGTGGCCAACCCGTCGGTCAGGCTCGAAATACCAATGTTTAGAGGCTCTATCAACTCGGCTTCTAATGGGCAGGGAATTAAGAGAAGAGGACACAGAAGAAGCAACAGAACACCATAAAGAAAGTCATGTTTGAATTTTCGAAATTTAAATATCAAGAATGCAAACTGTCGTCATTTATGTAAATTCATCAAACGATATACTGTATAGCCTATTCTTACTGTAAAATATACAAGTTCGTGTAATATCGAGCGTGAGAAGAAGTGATAAGTGAGAATAGAACACACGAACACTGACCTATTTAAATGTAAAGTCTAGAGTCTATGAATAAACAAAGTCACGAGTTAACTGAATACAGATTTGAATCTAAAAAATCTACGTGAATGAGTCTTTCTAAAACAAGAAATTACGTCAGATTCGAGATTCGTTTATAGAGGAATCATTAATCTTATAGGATCCGAACCCATGTCCTTATATAATATAACTAATGCTCTAGAGTAATTTATAGCATTTGTATCGGTAATACGTCGAATTTTCTTTTATCTTTTGCAATGTTTTGCTCCTGTATATCATACTTTTTCTGTTACCAATAGAGAAGTCCTTTCAGGGGAAATTTTTCAATTGAAATAACCTGACTTTCGATTTGTATTGGAAATTCTTATATAGTTAATCGGTCCTTCTACCCCTAAGATTTCCATATTTTATCTCGATTTTTGTATATCTAACTCCATTCTCGAGATTAAGGAGGAGACAGACAGACAGACAGACAGACAAAAGTGAGAATTTATGGGTCTAAAATCTTTTAACTGCAGTAGTTAATTCGTAAATTTTATCTTTTTCTTTAATACTAAATGACGTATTAATAAAGGAATTGGCTCAAAAAAAGGAGATGACTCTTCGGACATGGAGGAGGAATTTTGGATTTTCATTCGTGTGGATGATCCATTCGATTCCGAGGATCCAAATTTCTAAAGTAACGTTACAAAACGTTTATCCTGACGTAACCTTTCAACTTTCTAACGTAGAAAACAAAGGGCAGGTAAAGGAATTACGTGACAAAGCATCTAAAAACTTCAAGTAATAAAAAGTCGAAAGTTCAAAAGAGCTAC